TTAGCCCTGGCCGCTGCAGACATGCTAACGTTAGCCCTGGCCGCTGCAGACATGCTAACGTTAGCCCTGGCCGCTGCAGACATGCTAACGTTAGCCCTGGCTGCGGTTACCTTTGGAGCTCCGCTGGTTGCCGCAATCCTCTTAACTTTAGAAAAAAGAATTTTCAAATTACGCAATAAATCTGTAACATAGTAAAGCTTAAAGTATAATATTCTCGCTCTTAACTTATCTTAAACTGTACTTTTATAGAACCACGGCAACAGAAAAGAGAATTTTTAACTTAATACTCTAAGCTCAGTGAGCACTCCATTGAAATGCATGCTGGGTAAAGAGGGAGGGGCCAGAACAACATCCAGGGACTTTGTCTGTTCTCTGTCTGCTGTTCTTGTGAATTGGAAGAGTACTAGGGCTGATGATGATGTTTCACGAGGACACGAGAATGCACAAGAACACAGATTGAGAAAGGCCTAAATAAACTCTTTCAGTTCTCACTTAAAGAGGCCAATTTAGCTGCCATATTTTATTGATCTCTTTTTATGCAGTAACCCAACGGACTCTTTTTTTGTCATATCTTCTAAATTTGTCCAGTTTAATATTTTTTTAAGACAACATTCCAGCAGCGATCCTCACCTGGAAGTTGTGGACCACGGTGATGTGTCTGGGGGGCCGAGGGCTCTTGGCGTGGTTCACCACAGAGTCCCTCTTCAACCCGGGGATTCTGCAGGACGACAGAACCTCGTAGTACTGGTTCATACACAGAGGCTTCCCTCCCAGGTACTCCACTGGAAGTGTTTCACTGTGACGGAGGGAACAGGAGGAGGAAAACTTTCAGCCACCAACCAATCAGATTTACACACAGATAATGATGCTTTGTTATCAGACAACTGGCTTCCTGACTTACTTGTCGATCATCGTCTTAAAGTCTAAAGCTCCTGCGATCAGTTTGGAAGCAAACCTACGAAGAAAGAACCAAGTTATTTATTTTGATAGCTTCTAAAAGCTAACGTTAGCTTACAGGTAGAAACAGTTAGTCTCTTCCCTCATTTAAACACAATTCAATTCAGACTTAAATCATGTTTTAAACTCAGAGGGAGAAGAAGCAGAAGAATTTAGGTAACTTATTTAGGTAACTGAAAAAAAGAAATAAATAATATGTGAATCATTTAGAATTTCCAAT